CCCGGCCCGGGACCGATTTTTGGCCACCTCTACTATGGAATGTGTTCAAAATTCTAGTGGGCCAATGAAGATGTATGAAGATGTAGATGAAGGCCAGGGACATAGAGGTTTCCCCCTCTTTGCAAAAATGGCCTACAAGAAGTTACTGACAATGGCCCTTGGACTATAAAAAATGTTCCCATCTTTATTCAGAAAATGTAGACCTGGCTTAAATCTTAACTCTGTTAAGCATGAGAAGATACCTTTGTGGGTGAAAATTCAAGACATCTCCTATGAAGCCTGGAATGCTGAGGGTCTTAGTTATATCGCTAGTAAAATTGGTAAACCCCTTGCTATGGATTTTTGGACCACCAATATGTGTAAGTATGTAGCGAGGAAGTCTACCTTTGCTAGGGTTCTTCTTGAAGTACCCGTCAGGCAAACTTGGTTGGATTTCGTTAAGGTCCGTATCCCAAACCCGGAAACCCTTGCTACGTCTTCTTATGATCTTAGAGTTGAGTATAATTGGAAACCCCCTATGTGCTCTCATTGCAATGTCTTTGGTCATTCCATCTGCCCCGGGTACGATTACACGCGTCCACAACAATTGTGGCCTCTGAGTTTATCAGGGCTAATGTCTTACAATCACTTTTGTCAGGATTAGACATGGCCTTGGATACCCTTCCAAAGAAGATATAACCATTTGGTTACAGAAATGTCAAGGTTCCTAGTGTTTCAATGTATGTACATGTATGTTCAAATTGCTTACTTCTATTGATTTTTATGTGTTTTTTTGCACAACTCTTATCGTCAGCAGTTGTCACCCTTGAAATATACAAAAACCATGAATGGCTAGGATCAAAACCCAAAGTTTACTTTCAATGAAGCGGGGAGAAGAAGACTGCTCTTCCGGATGTGAACAAGGCATAAACTGTATATAAGTTTAAGGGTGAAGAATCTTTTCAGGTATGTAATGATTGGATCTTTCATTGCGTACCTCTCGAGGGAGCATGAGGCATTCCAACTGTTGTTGACTGGAAAAAGTTTAGGAAGGGGATCAATGCTACTAATTATTTGCTTCTAATTACTGCGTTTGTGGTGTCGTCGTTTACAACTTAAAATATCAGTAGAGGTTCTGTTTTTTCTAATCTTCTTGATGACTATCCCTTCTGTTCACAATTTAAAATGTCATTTGCTTTTTCACACTTTGTCTATATCAAGGTTGTGTGGGCCTTGTGGCATAATGGTTCAAGGGGATGTAGTGGAAATCTCATATTCCCAGGGTTCGAATCCAAGCGCAGCCATATGACCATAGCGATGACACCAAGTCATTTGTGGTCGCCCAAGGGATTTGTTGGTGCGCATTGGCCTGGATACCCACGGGTATACAAAAAAATGACCGTGAACAAAAGGCTCTCATTATCGTCTCTATTCAGCCGGGTTTAGGAAAGATGAATTACGTTGTAGGTGTTACTGAAAGAGCTTTTTATAGATATGTAAATGATTTTTTGTTGATGTACATGTAAATGCGGATAATATATCCTTTCATGGCTGCATTTGATTGATATATAGATTGTAATAGCCCTACAAGGTATTATGGAGGCAGTGCATGACCTATCATTTCTCGGATTTATTTTTTGGAAGTGACTCCAGGTTTTTGCTTAATATTTTCAGCCTCTTACGGAGTTCCCTGGTAAAAAAATGCAAGCGGTGCGGGTTTTATGAGGAGGAGCATATTAGGTTTGGTGATGTGTTTGATGAGTGGGAGTTCTGTCCTTCAGATCTTGCAGCCTCGGACGGTCGCTACATTCGTACTGATGCAAGGAATTCAATGCAACATTCTTGTGCATAAAACACCGTATGTTCTCCAATTAACTTTTATATATATATATATATATATATATATATATATATATATATATATATATATATATATATATATATATATTAACTGATGGCTATGGTTCAAATGTAGTTTGTGAGCCTGTTTTCATGGTAGACTATATATATATAATGTGTTATAAATAGCACCATTCGTCTGTTTTGGCAAAATTCAATCTTTTTCAGTTAAGGTTCTCCTCATACTCATCCTTGACACCATCTGAAAGAGTTAAGCTCAAAATACCTCCATACCGGCTATGCACATTGCAGATGATCTTATATCAGATTATGATAATTGGAAATGAGTTTTGGCAAATCATATGGGCTAATAGGTAATTTGAACTTGAAATCTTGCCAAAATGGAACATTGCAGTTAACATTAGGCAACCCAAAAAAATGGGAATCATATGGGCTAGTACGTAATTTTATCTATTTTTCAAATAGAAAAAGGCTAAATATCAAAGAAGGTAAGAAAAGAAGGTTAAGGTAAGGTTCATATGTGAATCATTGAAAAAATCCATCTCAAAATGCATATGTGAACCCATAGGAATAATCTTCACATATGCATCTTCAAGTAGAGTTTTCCCCATTTTTTTCAATGATTCACATATCAGTCTTCCCTTAACTTTCCCTTCTCACGATATTTGAACCGGCTCTATATGGGCTAATAGGTAATTTGAACTTGAAATCTTGCCAAAAATAGAACATTGCAGTTAATATCAGGCAACCCAAAAATGGGAATTGTGCGAGTCTTCCGGGGTGGAAGGAGAAATATTCTTAGATCACAAATAGCTTACATTCAACGGATGGGAGAGAACTACTTTGTGCAATATCTATTTCTTCCACTGTTGAAGAGGCCAAGGATGACAATTGAGTGTTGATTGCTTGCTTGGTTGGTTTCAAGGGCATCACTGCGTTAGGAAATAATGTAAACAATTTATAAGCAAAGAAAGAAACCATTTTCTGATAGAGGTTACGTTGAGGTCAAAGAAACCAAGTCACAACTAGGATATATTCTACTGCATTTGAAGTCTTTAATAACTACAATAAACTCTCTTTAACAAATAAAACAGATAGATAGCGTAGTGGTTGAGACCCAGGGGGATGTAGTGGAATATCCCATCTGACCCAGGTTTGATTCCAGGTGCCCACAGTAATTATAGCCACTGAGTTTATAAGGGTTGACATCTTATAGTCGCAATTTGCTGGGATTCGTATGGGCTTAGCCTGGGATACCCTTCCAAAAAATATTGACCTCAAAAGAAGGTGACGTTTTTTTTTTTGGAACATACCAGTGGCGGAGTGACATGAACTTAGTTGATTGTGGAATCTACGGATTCTATATGCATTTTCTGCAGACTGCTCAGAGATTCTTGGACTTGCTTCCACCCTTCATCCCCTGTCCTTGCCTTGGTTGTCCTTCTCATTTTGAAGTAAATGGTCATTAATATATATATATATAATTATATATATATATATATATATATATGTGTGTGTGTGTGTGTGTGTATAGAGAGATAGGGAGGTTCAGGAGAAAACCCCAAAAAAAAAATGAAAAAGTGAGAAACACCCTGGTAACCATTCATCTGGACAGCATGCACATGTGCCAAGTAATTGAAGTTGTTTCTTGGTTTTTATGCACGCATGTTATGCACATGTGCATAACGGACAAATTGCCTACAAATTACTTGTATATACCGTCCAGATGAACGGTTACCAGGATGGTCCTCAGTTTTTCATTTGTTTTCCCCTTAACCTAACCCTATACATATAATATCCTATAATGCATGATCTTTCTTTACCAGTTTTGGAGTATTGCTGTCAAACCATCTTGCCCATGTAATGCTTCTTTGTTTTTTCCAAGAAACGTGTGTATTCATCTTCTGTGGAGGACAGGAAACCATGCATGTCTGACACTTTGTGATGAAGAAATTCACTGTAACACTAGATGCAGATTGGGTTGTCTCATATGCTCTCAACTGGCTCTGGTTAAACAGCAAAATCACGAGAAAAAGGAAATTAGCTGACAAGCTAGTTGTTAGCTGATAAGTTTGGTTAAAACTAACTACTAAGGTAGATGACAATGTAAAATGACCTAAAACTATATGTTGAAAAATTAGTTTGAAAAACAAAAGGGGCGTAATCGGAAAAAGTTCAAAAAGAACCCCTATAGCATATTGAAACACAACTTCAAGTAGCGTTCAAAAGGTAGCTTATAAGATAGTTTTTGGCTATCCAAACATGCCCATAATAGTAACAATTTTTATTTTCATACATCCTATATATAATACTGCAAATCTCTATATCATATATAATATATATATACGAACATATGTTTTTTTACTAAACTCACTGAGTAAGTGATATTAAACAATTTAAATTAGGTTATATATTAAAATTTTAAATTAGGTTATATAATAAACAATTTAAAAGGTAACAAATCAAATATTGTGTTACAAAACCACACATTCGGCCATGGGGTGCCACCGGCTTAACGTGGTGGCTGTTACAGCGAGCCTTTTAGAACACTGCCTATAGCCTATTGTCATCATTACAAACTTATTAATTCCATACATTTTGACCCAAAATGACTCCTATTTTGTCATGGTCAAGGGTACTTTAGACATTTGACTAATAGTTAACAATATACCTCATGCTGCTGTTGCCAAAATGCAGCTATGCTTTGCTCCTGATCATTAAGGTTACTTTGCAAATCATCAAGTATGTCACCGACCTTGACTGAAGCTTCTTTTATAAGCTGCATAGAAACTTAGATATCATTAACATCAATTCCCCTTTTTTTAAAACAGAAACCATTAAGTATTTAATCTGCTTCAACATTGAACAAGAATTAGCTTACTCACTTCAGCAAGGGCAGAAGAATGCTTGACAGCTTCAGAATTTATATTACTGAGTGTTGTTTCAGAATTTCCACTGAACTCAGTAGCTAGTCTAACCAGAGATTCGATACCACCGGAAAATACCTCCTTAATCTTTTTTACTCAGAATGAAACCAAAAGGTTGTTGCATGCCACGGAGATGGAGATTGAAGAAAATTGACTGATAGTAAGTGATTTTTCTAACAATCTTGATTGTGTTTATGTTTCTTATTCTAAGAGGGTTTCTTGTTCTTTATATTGTAGGTAACTAGTGGAGCAGAGAAGCTTCATTTTTAGAATTTCTGTCAATGTTTTTCCATTCCATCAGTATGTTTGGGTTTCTTACGACTATTAAAGTTTGATTTGAGTATACTTTTCTGGCTTTTTCACTTCCCTCACAAAACAAAGCTGCAATCATCTTGATTTCCTCCCATTGTGAGATAGCAGAAATGGCCTTGTCCATCTTCCGTGAAAAAATAAATTCCATCAAAGCAATACTGGATGACATGGAAACGTAAATGGTGGAGGAGGAGAATACCATTAGGACTAAGGAGCATACTATGGCAGAACTTGCTCTTCTAATCCCTCCACTCAAAGAGAATCTGCAAGAGGCGGTCGATAAGCTGAATGAAACCAAAAGGTTGTTGCATGCCACGGAGATGGAGATTGAAGAGCTCAAGAAGAAATTGACTGATAGTAAGTGATTTTTCTAACAATCATGATTGTGTTTATATTTCTTATTCTAAGAGGGCATAGGTAATTGGTTAATCTTGTTTTATGTACAATATATATATTGTAGGTAACTAGTGGAGCTTCATTTTTAGAATTTCTGTCAATGTTTTTCCATTCCATCAGTATGTTTGGGTTTCTTACGACTATTAAAGTTTGATTTGAGTATACTTTTATGTCTTTTTCACTTCCCTCACAAAACAAAGCGACAAAAGGAAAAACAAAAGTATACTCAAATCAAACTTTAATAGTCGTAAGAAACCCAAACATACTGATGGAATGGAAAAACATTGACAGAAATTCTAAAAATGAAGTTCCACTAGTTACCTACAATATATATATATTGTACAAGAAACAAGATTAACCAACTACTTATACCCTCTTAGAATAAGAAACATAAACACAATCAAGATTGTTAGAAAAATCACTTACTATCAGTCAATTTCTTCAATCTCCATCTCCCTGGCATGCAACAACCTTTTGGTTTCATT